TCTTTCTTTCTTTCTTTCTTTCTTTCTTTCTTTCTTTCTTTCTTTCTTTCTTTCTTTCTTTCTTTCTGTGGTTTTCAGCATTCTCTTTTATAAGATTTTGAGTTCTAATCCCCCCCTCCTCCCTCCCCCCAAGACAGCATACAATCTGATATAGGCTATACATGTATGATCATATTAAACATATTTCTGCATTAGTCTTGTTGTGAAAGAAAAACCAGAACAAAAGGGGAAAACCATGAGAAAGAAAAAACAAAAAACAACAAAAGAAAGAGAAAATAGTATGCTTCGATCTGTATTCAGATTCCATAGTTCTTTCCTTGGATGTGGATAGCATTTTCCGTTATGAGTCTTTTGCCTCATTTCTTATTTTTTTTCTTCTTCTTTTTTTAAATAATTAATTAATTTATTTTTAGTTTTCAACATTCACTTCCATAAGATTTTGAGTTTTAAATTTTCTCCACCTCCCTCTCTTCCCCTTCCCCCAACCCAAGACAGCATGCAATCTGATATAGGCTCTACTTATACATTCATATTAAGCATATTTTCCCATTAGTCATGATATAAAGAACAATTAGAACTAATGGGAGGAACCACGAGAATGAAGCAATAAAACAAAACAACAAAGGAAAAGGAGAGCAAATAGTATGTTTCTGTCTGCATTCAGACTCCATAACTCTTTCTCTGGATGTGGGTAGCATTTCCATCATGAGTCCTTTGGAGTTGTCTTAGATCCTTGCATTGCTGAGAAGAGCTAACTCTATCAAAGTCAGTAATCACACAGTGTTTGCCTCATTTCTTTTTAAGACTTAATCACTGAATGGGCATTGCCTCAGTCAAACTGAAAACTGTTGAAGACCTTAGCGTGAAAAGGCCAAGGTCCCCCCACTGCATCCTGGGCCATCTCTAGTCATCCTGATCTATATCTTGCTACTGCATCCGGATGGTGATGTTGTACAACCCTCCCTCACTTAAATCCAATTCACTTGCATGTCATGGCATCACCTCCCTGATGTCATGGTCCTCTTTGAGAAAGAAGGACAGATAGCAACCTGTGATCTCCAGCAGGTGTGGCCTTTCCTTAAAGGGCAGTGTGGTATAGTGGAAAGAGCATTAGACTGGAAGATTTAGAAGGATATGAGTTTAAGTCCTAAATCTAACACTTAGTTGTTGCATGACCCTAAGCAGTTCATTTAATCCCAGCTTCAGTTAATTCATTTGTAAAATGGGGATTATAATAGTTGCTCTGCTGACATCATAGATTGTTGTGAGAAAAGCACGTTGTGAAGCATGAAGGTGCTTTATAAATCTAAGTGGTTATTTGTAGGACTATTGCCTTTATAAAAAGCATCAGTAGCCCAACTTGAGTAGAACATTTTTTGAAGTGGATCTCTGGATATTTGGCATGATTGAAGGTATTGAGGTTAATTAATTTCTTGCTTTTCAAAGAGAGTGTTAGGCCTGGAGTCTGGCTTTGCCTCATGGTTACATAATGTCTTGGCATTATTTGATAGCTGTTGCCCAAACAAAATTGATGTGGAGCCCATAAAAGAAGGAGTGAAAGATGTCTGTTCTGCATTTGGGGTAGTAGAGCAGGGGAAGATCCCTTCCCATTTCTTGTTTGAAGTTCCCTAGTGGGATCCCTAATTTAAATGTAGGTCGTTGGATATGAGGGCCCTGGTGCTAGGTAGCACAGTGCAAAGAGTGCTGGAGTTGGAGTCAGAAAGACCTGTGCTCAAAAATTGTCTGTCAGTTAACTAGCTGTGTGACCCTGGCCAAGTCACTTAACATCTTTGAGCCTCAGTTTCCTCATCTGTAAACCTAGGATAATAATAGCAACTAGCTCAGAGTGTAGTCCTGTGAATCAAATCAAATACTATATGTGATATGCTCTGCAAAGCTTAAAAAAACTATATACATGTGAGCTACTATAACTAGTTTTATTATGGTTATTATTTTCTCTTGGAAAATTCCATGATCTAATCAGTAATCATCTTTGTTAAATATTAGCTCAGGCTTAAGTAATGTTAAATTTTGAGAATGTGGATCAGAATAGGGTAGTATGTAATTACTGTGATCTTACATAGTTCATATTAGCATATCCATGGATAAGTTGTTTTCCCTGATAAACTATAAACTCCTTGAAGGCACAGACTGTTTGATTTTTGTCTTTACATCCCTATGCCTTACACATAGTGGGACTTCATAAAGCCTTGTTGTGGAAGGAAATTTTTATGGGAGTGGAAAGCCCAGCAAAGTCAAGAAAACTATTAAAAGTTAATATACGAACTCCTCCTGACACCATCCTCCTCCCATCCCTTCCCTTAACCCCCAACAGTATGAAGAAAGCCAAAGGTACTCTGTGTGATTTGTCTCTGATGAAATCATTTACCTCACAGACAGCCCAATAGTAAACATTCTTATGTTTTTCTATTCTTCCTGTTAACGCCCTTTCTTATATGCATTCCTTTCCTTCCCCTTTGTATATTTTATGTGTTGAAGTTAAATTGCACCTAATGTGTGGTTTAGTACCTCATGTACTGAAGCTTATTAGTTATTATAGTTTTCTTCCCTCCTACACACATCTCTCTGGTTCAGATTTAAAATTATGACAGTAATTACTTGATTACTAGGGTTGCTGGGGTTCATTATTATTTAGTAGAATATAAGAACAAAGTAAGACTCCTCTCTATCTCTTGTTTATTCATAAGTTGTTTTCCTGTCCGTAACTCTGATAGGTAATATGTTCCATATTCTTCAAATTTTCTTTTAATATCTCTCTTTATATCTAGGTCATGTATCCATTTTGACCTTTACTTGGTAAATGGTGTAAGATATTGGTCTATGCCCAATTTCTACCAGAGTGCTTTCCAGTTTTCCCAACACTTTTTACTAAATAATGAATTCTTATCCTCAAAACTTAAGTTTTTAGACTTGTCAAATACAAGCTTACTATATTTGTTTGCTGCTATAAGTTGTATGTCTGCTCTGTTCCACTGATCTACCTTTCTATTTCTTAGTCATTACCATGTAGTGTTGATAATTACTGCCTTACTATATAATAAGGGCTGGTACTGCTAAACCTCCTTCTTTTACATTTTGTTCCTTAGTTCCTTTGATATTCTTGACTTTTTGTTCTTCCAAATGAATTTTATTATTACTTTTCTCTAATTCAGTAAAATATTTTTTGGTAATTTAATTGGGATGGCATTGAATATATAAATTAGTTTAGGTAAAATTGTCATTTTTATTATATTGGTCCTGCCTACCCATGAACAATTATTAACAATTAAGACTGTTTGGTCATGTCAAAGTACCACTTTGGATGAGCTGGTAAACACAAGGTTCTTGGATTGGTGCTGTGTCAAGAATTGGGAGTCTGTAGCCAAAGTTTGAGTCTCAGCTCAGCTGTGGTGCTGGGCAAGTTATTTTTCTTTTTCTAGACTCACTTTCCACATCTATAAAATGAGGAGGGTAGATTAGATGGCCTTTGAGGTACCTTCCATTTGTAAAACTGTGATCCTGTAAGATAAGGTCTAAGGTTAAACACTGTCATAGGATCTGGGTAGCTAAAGACTTGACTTCTTTTTTTGATATTTGAAAGTCTAATAAATTTGATTTTAGATGAGATCATTCAGTAGAATGACTTTGGTTCCAGTCATGGATCTAATTGAACAGAGATTATCTGCCATCTCTGCCAGTGTTGTTCATGTTATAGCATGGAGTAGCTAAAGCTTTTTCATTCATTTTAGCTGAGGGACTCTTTACAGATTGGTGAATGCGACCTCTTTACTCAGTCTCTTTATAGTTATTCTTAGTTCTTGGTGTTGTATAATCTTCCTGGCTGAATATCCAGACAGACACACGTTATGCTGACTGCATAACTGACTGCATGTCCTGATGGTTCAAGCTAAGGCTTTGAAGTTGCCCAAAAAGAATTGCTTGACTTTTGTCTTTCATTCAACTGGATGAGATTATTTTTCCTGTGCAAGGAAAAAAAAAGTCTGGACCCCTTCTCATAGAAGTCATGTTTGTCTTCCATGTAGATCCTACCCATGTGATGGGTTTGTATCCTGATTTGCTGCCCACTGAGTATAGGAAGCAGCTGCAGTATCCCAACCCATTGCCAGTGCTCTCTGGAGCTGAACTGGAAAAGGCTCATTTGGCTCTAATTGACTACCTGACTCAGGTAAGTACGGACTGGGGAATGCTTCCTGGGAATTCTGTCTAGCACTAGTTTCAATGATGGGTGATATTGCAAACAGAGATGGCACAGAGGCCTCGGATAACCCACTGCTTTCCTGGGCTATTTCTTCATGAGCCTTTTTGCCTAAGAGTCTCAGCTGTGAACAAGAGTGAAATTGACCCCTCCTATGTAAGACTCAGCTTCACTATATCTACACCATAGTAATCTGTGTCTACCCTTGGAAAGTAGGTAAGTGTAATTGCTGAAGGAATCCAAAAGTACTATTTTACCCCAAGCATCCACAGCTCAGTCCCTGCTCTCTTGGATTATTGCTTATTCCAAGTGACCCCACTTAGAAGTGTATTAATACCTCTGAGGATCATTATTTTTCTTTTACAGAATTTCCACAAGCCTCAGTTTCTATGTCTTTTTTTACAGTAAGCACTTGGAGGTATTTATAGAACATTTGCTGTACTGGCTACTTTCCAATTCTGGTTCTGGGGAAATGGGTATAAGGGCAGGTCTACCTGTGCTGTGTACATTAGACACACCCTTGACATTAGGTTGCAGGGATGTGTCTGTCTTGTGAGCTGAAGGCTGGGGTGCTGCCTGAGCAGTGGCTGACAGGCAGTCTGTAAGGAGACCCCAAGTCAGCCTCCCCATGTGCTCTGCCTGGCATAAGCTCCAAGGGAAGGGAGCTTTCTGCCTAGATGTAAAGAGAAAACTGTAGGTTGTCAGTTGCAGGGCTGATTGTCCCATGTACTGGCATTAGAATTGGGCATACTGCCAGAGAAAGTGCTTTTCTGCACATGCCTCCAGTTTAGAGATCTAAGGCACATTCAGAGTCATCTCCCTAGCTCCAGTGGGATTAGCTGGCTCCAGTGGGATCTCCACTGTTCCAGTGGGATGTAGCTGGGTTGCACCAAGTTTCCTGGCAGAAATTTCATCAGTGGCAATTTGGTAATTATTTATAATTCTCAGACTCTTGTGTTAAGGTGGAAATGAGGTTAGCTACTTAGGGGATCCATGGTCCACAGGTGTGGGTGTACTCTTGTACCCAGTGCATACCACAAGCCCTCTAACCCTTTTGATTCTGTGAGGCTCTTGTCCATATCTTTTTTTTTTTTGTCCATATCTTTTTGTAAATCTTCTAGAAGTGATCCATCTCTGGAGGTGGCCTCGTACTTTTACTATCTCAGGGGCATGAGTGTAGTAGAGACAATGGAATATAGTGACTGGAGAGGAATTAAGAAAACCTGGGCTCATGTCCTGCCTCTGACACATCCTGGCTGTGTGACTCCAAGCATGTCACTTCATGTCCTCCCCTTCCCCCTAGGACTCCGGAAGCTTTCTGAGATTTGAACACATCTTCAGTTTGGCATGAAAACGTCCCTCTGATTGAGGGATTTAAGGCACATGCAGAGTCATCTCCCCAGTTCCAGTGGGATGTAGCAGGGTTGCACTAAGTTGCCTCTGGAGAAAATTAGCAGCCTAGGCCCTCTTTTTCTTCTGGGTGGCAGAGTTTGTACCTTCTTGTGTTGTCCACTCTAAGTTTCAGAGAAGGTGATGGTCTGCCTTGGCTGAGAGAGGTGTCCTTGGCTGGCATTTCCTGCATTCATGAAATCACCAGTTCAGTCTACATCCCCTTCCCCCACCCCATCACTCCCTCCCCCTGCCTCCCTGTGGGGCTTGGCCTTTCTAGCTGCTCTCTCTTGTTTTTAGCTGCATGACCAGCCCCCGAAGTCATGCATGTCCTTCATGGTATATTCTGTGCCACCCCTCGAGCACAAGCCATCATTGGTCATTGGCTCCAATCAGCTTGTTCCCTCCATGCATCTCTCCATTGCCCTTTCGGTTACTGATGGTTTGGATTATTCTGGGATTGTGAGCTCCATGGTGTTAGAAGGGATTTGGGTGGCAGC